AAGCCCGGATACCCCTCTGGAAGCCCGATTCACAGAGTAATTCCTTATATATATATATAATATATATATATATGTTGTCCGCCAGAAATGGTGCATAGTGTGTGCATTTGCAGGACAGGTGACGGCTACAATACTACAACTGCTGTATCTAAGAATATCCTGATGCTCTAGGGGCTCCTGGCCTTACTACTAGGAGCAAGAAGCTACTAGGAACAAAGGGCATCGCTACTAGGAGCAAGGACGCCATTAGGGGCTCCTGGCATCGCTACTAGGAGCAAGGAAGGTAGGTCCCACCCTAACCCTAGGGCACAACTCTCCATTCTTCACCTGAACCCTAGATTGAATTGCTTTGGCACCCTAGTGATCAATGTCCACCTAGTAGTGTTCTTGTTCCTAGTAGCGAGGCCAGGAGCCCCTATAGTAGCGTCCTTGCTCCGGATTCAATGGGTTTATACCAAAAAGACGACCCGAGCTCCAACTCCCCAAATTGATTTGGACAATTTATCTCCTGATTGTTCTTTCTCTTTCTTCACTATCCTAATCCTTTATCCGAAGGTACTATAATGTACTATAAATTTCCCTCTCTTCTCAGCCTTTTTCTCATGCTGGCTCATTATTTGCTTATGCCTTTGGCAGTTACGATCCCTCCTCCAGATTAATGGGATGTGTATTAATCCCACCTTTACATTAGTAGTCCAGCCCTTTCTGTTAATTTTTTTCCCCAAACAGTGTGGGCACACTGAGGGGTTCTTACGGTAGGGGAAAAGAAGGTGTGCTTAGATCGCTGAGGCGCGCGGGCGGGAACGGCTAATTCGTTGCTATTTACAGTACATTCATGCCTCTCGACATCGTCCATGTGCACTTCGACTGCGCAGGCTCGCAGAATCTGGGGGCCGGCGGCAGGTGCTTCCAGCACTCTCGTTGTGGTGCCGTGCGCATTTTCGCACATGGTGGTCACTTTTCGTGGCAGGCGCTAGGGAAACCTTTTGGTTTGGTGCTCCAAAGTCGACTTTTCGTGACAGGTGCAAGGGATCGGAGGTGTTTTGCTTCGATATGCAGTATTCGTGGCAGGTGCAGCACTTTGGACATGGTGGTTGTCGAGGAGCGCAGATTTCGTGACAGGTGCAGTGAATCGTGACTTTTGGACATGTGGCTCGGTTGCAGATTTCGTGGCAGGCACAGCACTCGAACCCTCGATGTGCAGACTTCGTGGCAGGTGCAGCACTTTATGAACCTCGAAGTGCAGATTTCGTGACAGGTACAGCGCTTTGTGAACCTCGAAGTGCAGATTTCGTGGCAGGCGCAGCACTTGGTGAACCTCGAAGTGCAGACTTCGTGGCAGGTGCAGCACTTGATGGACCTCGAAGTGCAGATTTCGTGACAGGTACATCACTTTGTGAACCTCGAAGTGCAGATTTCGTGGCAGCAGCACTTGGCGAACCTCGAAGTGCAGATTTCGTGGCAGGCACAGCACTTGGTGAACCTCGAAGCGCAGATTCCGTGGCAGGCACAGCGCATGGTGAACTTCGAAGTGCAGATTTCGTGGCAGGCGCACCGCTTGGTGAACTTCGAAGTGCAGATTTCGTGGCAGGCGCAGTACTCCCTCACACTCCCACTCTCTCTCACTCACACTCGCACTCACACTGCCACTCCCACTCACAGCCACACACTCCTCACACTCACTCACTCTCCCACTCGCAGACTCTCACTCGCTCTCACTCACACTCGCACTCGCACTCACACGCACACTCGACACTCGCCCACACTCACTCTCACACTCACTCTCACTCACACTTGCTCACTCACTCTCACCCACACTCACTCGCGCCCACCTTCACTCTCACTCACTCACTCACACTCACACTCTCACTCTCACACTCACTCACTCTCACACTCACTCACCCACCTTCAGT